GGCCTCTTCTCTCTCTCTCTCTCTCTCTCTCTCTCTCTCTCTCTCTCTCTCTCTCTCTCTGTGTGTGTGTGTGTGTGTGTGTGTGTGTGTGTGCGTGTGTGCGTGTGTGTGTGTGATGTCACTCTGTCAGTTTAGCTTCTTTCTAAAGTGGACTAACACCACGAGGACGAGAGAAAGAGGAAAGCAATCTCTTGCTCCAACGATGAGAGCAGAGGCAGAGGCAGAGGCAGGGAACTAACTAACCTCAAGTTCACGGAGCTGACCCGAGTAAGTACGAAGGATATGGCAGATTAGATCGCGCTGCCGAAAGACAGGATCGTCAGCCATTCTCTGATCGACTAGTTTCTCTAACCAATCGATGAAATGATTCAACTCAATACTGTTAAAATCCCTGTGGTCCTCTCGCTCCAAGAATTGCTGAAGCACGGGAAGGCCACGCGTGCAGCTGAGCTGCTGTTGGCCGTTCGATCTGTTTGCTCTCCCTTCTCTTCGTCCCCGTTTGCGTCGACTGCCTTGACGCGACACGTGGTTGAAGTCAGATCCCGACTCCTCCTCTCTCCCCGCTCCTACTTCCTCCTCGTCCTTCCCCGAACCCTCTGCTCTCGTCTCACCGATACCATGTAACGAGGACGCCGCCGCCGATCGCGATCCCGACAACGATCCTGCCACGTCGGTCAGACGCATGGCATGCTTCTCCAATCCGCTGCTAATCGACCCTGATGAGCCATCAACCCTGGCAACGAAACCATCCGACGTGTCGTCATCATCGCCATGGTGATCAAAATCTCCTCCTGCTCCTTGGGGGAACCCCTGCGACAGCTCCTCTAAGATGGGAGGACTACCCTCGAGTACTCCGTCCACAGCAGCAGATCTGGACGTCGCGGCAGCCTCGCGATGATCGGGATCCAGATGGTCACCAGCGCTCGTGCCTGTGTCGCCTCCACGTGGCTCCCCCCCCAATCCGAGCCCATCGCCGTCGAGTGCATGACACGCGGCCTTGACCCTCTGATGGCAATCGCACGACCATGCACCGGGTGCCGCCCAACGACAATCCCAAGAATACGAGGACAGCCGTAACCCATAATCAGCCATGGCTAATTGGTCGACTAATTGGAGCGCTCGGCATACATGTCTGCGAACGCCTGTTGATGACGTCGTTGCTGACGTGACTCGCGCCGAGCGGCCGACAACTGGCAATTCCGCTTCCCGCCATCTCCGCCCAGGTGGGCGAGACCTGAGGCAATGCGACGGCCATTTTCGAGCGGGAAATTGGGCCGAGGTCATCGGTCGTCGTCTTGGCGCTGGAAATCGGACGCGCCAAATCCATCCCCCCGAGTCGTCGCAAACCACAGTCATCCTCGATGATGGGCAAGAAAGCAGGTGGGCGTGCGCCGGTATCCTCGACGACGCGCGGCCATCGACGCATCCCGCTCCCGACCCCGACCCGGCAGACACGTCAAATGATGATCTGACAGACGGATTTCTAATTCTGAGACCAATTAACATGAAGTCGCAGACACAAGAGCAGAGCAAACGGTCATTCGGATTATGGTATCCTCCACAGGGGATAAGGGGATCTTGAGGAGGAGGATGACGTCGACGAACATCTTGCGAAAGACGCTTATGGCCGTGACGCTTAGGATGGTGACTGTGCTGAGGAATAGCGGACGGCGATGAAGAGAAAACGGGGTGGTAGCAGTAGCTACGACAGTGCGTTCTTAAGCATAAGCTGCCCCGGTGCGTGGCAGAATTCCATCGATACAAAGCGCTCACGAAGAGCGGAGGCGGCCTCGATCCCACGCCGTTGGCGATCGGACGACCGTGACTTGCCACGTCATCGTCATCCCGATGACCACGTGGCGGCTTCTGGACGCAGAGCGCGCCGCGTTGCACTTCGATTGCCTGCTCACCGCCGCCGTGGAATGCCGGCCGCACATTGCGTCCGAGCTGTCCGTGCCGCACATAGGCGGCGTGTGCCGACATGCGGGTGACGGTTCCGCGCGGCCAGTGGCCGCCGCCGGCCACTATCGCCGTAAAGAGTAGGTGCGATCCGGCGGCGGGCGCGCGTCTCCGCCTGCTCCCGCGCCCACGCCCGCGCAAGGGTGCCGCCGCGCCGCACCGCCCGGCCACCGAACACTCTGAAAAGTAACATCAACCCGTCGATGGATCGACCAACCAACCTACCAACCAATCAATCATTCCGATCAATCAACCAATCACTAGACACACGTCAGCATCTGCTTATCCCATTGAACGGCTTGAAAAAGCGCTGACACCAAACACGTCCGTGCAAGACCAATTCAAGGGTCGGGGAACGAAAAGAAAAAGGGCACCGATAGGCTCCACAAATTGCACGGAAAATCGGGCTTTTTGTCCTTTCCAATGCGTTCAACCAGTTTTCAATAATCGCGTGGTCCGCTGCAAACTCTCTATTCTCTGCCATGCAATTGAAGTCGCCGCACTTTTGATGTCTCCACGTGTCGGTAAGCGGGGACCCCAGCGTCGCTGTTGTACAATTGAATCCTGTCTCCAAAGTTGCAATCAGTCGCGGTTACGCTGGGGGGGGGGGGGGGGGGGGAACAGAAAGGAAAAGGTTCTCAGCTGCCTTCTTCCCCCGAATCATTATAGCCGTATCTAGACTGAAAGATGCCTCAAATACAGATATAATGACCGTACGTTGCATTCAGGGGAAGAAGGTAAGAGTTTTGTTGCTCTGTCGATACGTTCCCTCTCGTCGGGGATCGAAACCTGGGCGGGCCATCTGACCGAAAAAACATTGGACAAGAACGTTGCCACGTTTCAGGACGATTACCACGCTCTTCCAGCCTTCTTTCAGAATTGCTGCGCAGGTTTCAGAATGGCAGCGCAGCTATGGCGCCCCGGGGCCGGGTCGCCCTGGCCCGCGTTTTGCATTTCTGGCCGTATATTCTGGGGATCCACGGCCAGAAATTCAAAAAGCACTCAAGTGCGATCTGGCCCCGGGGCTGGGTCCCACCTGCACCATGCAACCCGTAGGTGATGCGGTTTTTTCTTTCCCTTTCTTTTTCGAGGTGGGGGCCGAAAGCCAATTGCAAGCCCACTATCCCAGCGGCAATGAGAGAACCGCCAGAATTGAGGGCTTGGCTATCAGGCTGGTCCATCTATTGGTGGGGAGCGACACCTGCTGGAAAACGGATCCATTTTTTGTCGGTTGTTGAGGCTGTGGCCTTTACACCGCGCGTCGTGAAGCTCCCGTCATTAACCTAGGGCTGCAGGTGTTACCCTTCCCAACGTACAGCTCTCACTTTCCACTGGCCCAGCCAACTTCCTGAACTCCCTATCTATTCCTTCTTGACTAGTATCCCCGTTGATATCCTCGGTCTATCCCAGTTCCAGGTGATGCAATATACACCACCACGTGCAAGTTTTTCGTCATTGGGTCACCTGTAGTTGGTAGGCCCAACAGCGTTGTCGAGCGCATCAGTCCCTCAAAGGGACCCTCCCGACTGCATCATGCAGGATTTTGCAAGACTTCTTTCGCAAAGCGGTGCCACTTTGGCCGAGTGCGCCAGCCGTACCTCTCGCGAACCCCTACGACATGATAGAGGTCACGCGAGACACAACTTACCTCTACCTGCGGGAGCTATCATCTCCCTAAGTAGGCGTATCCCCGTCGAGCTACCGAACCACGTGTGAAAGTTTCTCAAGTGCAATCACAGAGGCAGCCCAACCGAGGGCATTTCTCGTTTGTTGTAGTATAGGGCGTACGCACGGTTGAACGCCTTAATAGGACACGTGCGTGAACCGACATTCTAGAGGCTGATCTCCCAAGCGCGGTCCTAAGTACGGTCAATCTAACCACGCACTACACTTTCAATTAAAAAAAATAAAACAAGTTTCACACGTAAATCACGCTCAATTTTTTTTTCCACTTTCAACCCATAACTTTTCAACAGTAGAATACGTGGGCGTCACACGTGATGCCTTGAATAAACGACACAGCGACACATACTTTATCATATCGACTAGCCATGCATGAATACGCAAGCAGTCACAACGATGACATACTATATGGTACCCATAACCGTGCGGTCCTCAATGATTTTGAGGGTTGCTTTGGACACTCAAGTGTCGGTTGACACGTGTCCTAGGAGGTTATTCTCATGACGCTAGACAATTGCAAAAGCGATTGCAAGTCCTACCATTTTTTGCGCACTACTGAGAGGAGCGGTAAACATACTTCAGCCCTTTGTGGCAACGAAACGCCCCTGACTTACAGAACGAGGCTCCGTCTTCGAAGCCTTTGGAACATGAAAAGGGGTTTCACTTGGACAGTTGTGACGGTCCTCAACGTTCAACTATAAAAATAAATAAGCAGAATCAGATAAATTTTTCATTTCTCTTAACCCTAGTTCAGTCAACTCTTGCACATGGTTAAATAGATTGGGCGAATACATAAAGTATAAATATAGAGAGATTATTGAACACGGGGCGACCACTCTCACAATCATAGTGTGACAGATTAAATCCTGACTAAAAAATCACAAACATACCTGCAATCACAAAAAGATTCAACATCGACAGGACACAAATCCTAGTTGAAGTTATCTGCAATCACATGAATAAAAATGATCTTTAATGCAACACAGACCATTATTCGAAGCTATATTAAAGTGTATGGAGAATAAAACCCCAAATCACATCTCATTCCAACTCCTCATAGGACTAAGTTTAAACCTATCTCTAATTGATATCACAAATTCAAAACAAAATCGACAACATCTCCCTTGTGCAGGATGGATTGTCAAAGTTTTTATCAACTCATAAATAATATATTATTAAAACCAGGGTCACCAGCCCGTACGTACGAAGGTCCCCAGGCAGACTTCCGTACGTACGGGCGTTCGGGGTCCCGTACGAGGTCCGAACTTGACGGCATTCGGCCCCCGCCAAAAATCAATTCGGGGCCTAAAAATAATTATTTTTTTCTGATTTTTTTTTTTTTAGATCTCTATGACGTGAGGTACATGCCTGTAACTTTTCAACTCATTTGGCTAAGCCAAAAAAGAATTAAAAATCGCCAAAGATGGCGGTGTCACAGCGTGTTCGCCCACGTATTTTTTCACTTTTCACTTTTGTTTTCACTTTAGTTCGAGGTCTAAACAATTTTATTATTTTTAAAAAAAAATTTAGTGGGTTTTGTATTATGTGAAGTACACATCTGTAAATTTTCAGGGCACTTAGCTATGCCAAAAAAAAAATGAAAAATTGTCAGAGATGGCGGTATCAAAAACATGCTCGCGCACTCACTAAATTGAATTCTCTTTTTATTTTTATTTATTTTTACTATTAATATTTTTTTTCCGTATTTTATTTTTATTTCAAATTTGGTAAGGAATTCGGATGTAATGCTTAGGAAAATCTTGTTTAATTTATTTTT